ATATTCAGCACCACATAAATATATGTTTTTTTTCCCAGGGCTTTACATTTTCTGCAATGTTACTACTATGAGTTCATTTTAAATAGAAATGTTTTCAGGAGACGTTTTAATGTTTTATGGACTTGGAGTTATTTTTAATTGTATTTATTGTGATTTTATATTTTAGCATGCATTTTGCCCTGTGGACCATCGCTAAAGGTAAAGATTCGCCTTGCACATATGTGCTGGTTGTTCCTGACACTAGGGGGTGGTGCTCATCTCCATTTCAAAGCTGAAGGGCCAGCGCTGTCCGAAGACTTCTCTGTGGTCATGTGGCCGGCATGACTAAATGCTGAAGGTGCACAGAACACTGTTACCTTCCCACCAAATGTAGTTCCTATTTTTCTACTTGCATTTTACATGCTTTCGAACTGCTAAGTTGGCAGACACTGAGACAAGTAACGTGCGCTCACTCCGTTATGTGGCGCTAGGGATTTGAACCGCTGAACTGCTGACCCTTCTGACTGACAAGCTCAGCGTCTTAGCCACTGAGCCACCGCATCCCATGGACCATCGCTACCATGTAACTAATAATTAATTTTAGAAATTAATAGAATAAAACTTGCTGAACGATGACTGTCATTCTTCCCAGTCAGCATGACATTTGACCAACTGGCTAAAATAATGAGAAGCAATCCAACACATCTGGAGGGCAACAAGTCACAGAGAGTCTTAGTTGTCATTCCCCATGCTGCATGTCATGTTCAATTTTCCACTGAGATAAGCGTATGGATTTGCTTTGTAACCTAATTCATTTCCTCCTCATGAAATTTTCCCCAGAAATATGTTTCTGTCTGGCAGGAAAGAAGGAGGGAGGTTGAAAATGAACAAGTTAATTGCGCAGAAACACAAAAAAGGGACTGTCATGAGCAAGAGCCTTTGAGACAGTAGAGGGTCAGCAGGTGGCAACTGTGTCCCCACATCTTGCATCAGCTTATGCTTTCAGACTAAGTTGTTTGGCACGTCCTCTTGGAATCAGCAATCTGTAATACTAATAAGACAATACCCTGCTCACTTACGTTGGCTGCAGATATTTTGACATCATGTGTTGTTTTGCAACAGGTCTTCTAGATTGTATCACTAGATACAACTGCTCACAAATGAGATGGGACAATGCTGTATTCAGGTGTCAGAAAGGCAGTTGGCAAACTAGTTTTGGCAATGTGTATCCAACCAATTCTACAACTTGACACATGCCTTTTATCAAGCAAGCAGGTTTTTTTTAAAAAAGTCTTTTATAAGAAACCACAATGCTACTTAGTTTAATACTAAGTTATGGAGTTTGAGAAGGTACATTTAAAAAAAAGCAGTCAAAAACTACAGAGTTTGATGCAAAGTCATTATTGAAATTTAACAGAACAGAGACTGGGTGGATGAGATAGACAGCTTGGTGCATTAAGCTAACAGGAGGTTTGTATACCATTTTAAATGGTTTTTTTTTTACCCCCTGCTGAAAAAACTGGTTGGAAAATGTGCCCTTATTACTTGGCTATCACAATCAGAGGTTCGGATCCATATTTCCTAAAAGCTGTATGAGCTGCATGTGGTAGAAGGCAAGTGGGTGGCCCGTTTCTGTTTTTCAAGATCGATTGTATTTATTTCACTTTCATTTGATCAGCATGCATGAGCCCATACCTTCCTGAAAGCCTGTCACCAATTCATGCAAGCATCTAAAACAGATACTCTTTTGTTTTGTGGTTGGAAAGTAAAAGGAATGATAGCTTGGTGTTCCAAAAGACGTTTCCCATAGGAGAAGGGTGGGGCAGATACCGAGTTGGCAGAGAAAAGAAGACTTAAGAAAATAAAAAAGTCTCCTGGAAAAGAGAACTTGTAGAATTGGAAGGAGGGCTAATGGCTGGCAACCTGGGGAGGTAGTTTGTTGGTTGTTGAGAAGAGTCGATCCAAAGAGGAGAAGGTGCTGTGAGTTCCTTTCTAGCCACTGCAGAGGCTGAAGTAATGGAAGATGTGAAGCTATATCGACCAGAAAGCTTATGCCAGCCTAAAAGGGTATGTTGGCCAGTACATTTAGCTCCTTACTTTTTTTCCAAATAAAAAGTGGGAAGAGTATTTATAAATAGTGCAGTGTATATGTGTGGGTACACATTTGTTAAACCAATACTGTAGAATGCATACAAATTACACACTTAGGCTGCATTAATATCTAGTACAGTAAAGGAAAAGGTCCATTTTACAATGCATTTTAAATCTTGAACCATGATGGCTGTAAGCCAAGCAAAGAATGGAATGTAGTTACCAAGTTGTAAATAATTCTTGCAAAGAAAAGCTATAAACGCCAAGGTTAATGCTGCTTTCTGTCGTAATGAAAGGAGGGGAAATCGTGAGTTTTGCACTATGTCAAATCCTGTGAACCACAGCAGTCCCTGAGACAATCAGATTGTTTCACAGAGACTAAATGAGACCATGTTAATTATCTTCTCCAATGGAGATTTTCTCTGTGATTCTCTTTAGAGCTACACCTTCTTGTAACTTAAAGGGGCTTATAAAAAACAGAGAATCTAAACCTAGCAAAGAAAGAACCTGATGCACCTGATGTCTATCCAATTCTAAGAAGCAGATTTCATGATCAGATTATGAATGTTTGTATTTTCTTTGTTGTGAGAATCTGTAAATCTTCTCTCTTCACCACTTTTGTACATAACATATTGCACACTGATTCCTCTTTTCAAGTAATTCTTTCCCCCTCAATAATAGAAAATAGATCACACTTTTAGTTAATATTGAACAAATTTCTATTTTAGTTTCAGATAAAGTAGCTTTGCGGGGGCATAATGATTCTGAAAGAATTTAAGAAAGTCACGGAAGAAGCTGGTCATCTGATTGACTGATGTTGAAGCTGCCCAGTTGTTTCAACCTGCAGACCAACACACAATATACAATGTGTTACTAATGGAAACAGAATGCTGTCAGTGTGTGGATCACTAGGGCAAAAATGATTTCTGTGCAGATAAGATGACAACTGTAACTCCTAACTAAAGTAGGTTCAACACCAGTTCACCAGACTTTAGAAGAACTATCTACCTATGGTGCCTCTATCTTTGGTTTAGCTTTAGCACCTTGACAGCCTCACTTAATAACAAAGAGAGCTATACCGCTAGGGAAGCCTTAAAATTCAGAAGAATATGGATACATTGAGAGTTATATACTTTACTCCATCTGTCAGGCTGGGGGGTGAAATTATACGCCCCTCAGATAGGGTTCGCAATTTGGGAATCTTCCTGGACCCGCAGCTGACTCTAGAACATCATTTGTCGGCTGTGACCAGGGGGGCATTTGCCCAGGTTTGCCTGGTGCACCAATTGCATCCCTACCTGGAGCGGGAGGCCCTCCAAACAGTCACTCACACCCTTGTGACCTCAAGACTGGACTACTGTAACGCGCTCTACATGGGGCTGCCCTTGAAGAGTATTCGGAGACTTCAGCTGGTCCAGAATGCAGCTGCGTGAGAGCGATAGTGGGTGCACCTCGGTACACCCACATTACACCTATCCTCCACGAGCTGCACTGGCTGCCAATTACGCTCCGGACACGCTTCAAGGTGCTAGTCGTTACTTTTGAAGCCCTACATGGTATTGGACCTGGGTACTTGAGAGACCGCCTCCTGCCAATTACCTCCCTATGACCTATTAGATCCCACAGACTAGGCCTCCTCTGAATTCTATCTGCCAGCCAGTGTCGGCTGGCAACTCCTCGGGGGAGGGCCTTCTCTGTGGCTGCTCCGGCCCTCTGGAACGATCTCCCCATTGAGATCAGGACCCTCACCACCCTTCCGGCCTTCCGCAAAGCCACTAAGACCTGGTTGTTCCGGCAGGCCTGGGGCTGAAGAATTTTCCGGCCCCACTCGAATGTTGCGACTGTTGTTATATTTTAATTTGTTTGTCTGTATTTGTTGCTATTTGTATCCCCATGGTTGTTAGCCGCCCTGAGTCTCTCGGGAATAGGGCGGCATACAAGTTGAATAAACCTAAACCTAAACCTTCCTGATTTTATTTCTAGGTCAGAATGGGAATCTTGCACTTCCTTCCTTTACTTCCTGTACTTCCTGTACTTTTCCAGTACAAAGCATCAGTTATAGAAGAAACGGAGAAGTCCCCACCACACCCCAAATCTTCTATAGTAGCCCCTTTAGTTACTAATGAAAAAGGATAGAATAGTTTGGTAGAATAGTTTGGTTACAGTTTGGGAGGATATGGATATGATTTACAGACTTCTTCAATGGATTGTCATCTTTTTCCTCCAAAATTTAAGCATCTTGGGTGGAAAGGCAAGACTTCAACGGGTGAAGGCACAAAACTAATTTCCACAAAAGGAATAGCAAAACTTATAACAAGATTTTAAATATGAAGATTCTAATTGCATCAAAAGATTTGTGTATTTATTACTATCTAGCAAGATGTTAGCCATTATAGGAGGAAAAGTCTTTCTCAGAAGCATTTCAAAAAGTATCAGCTGAAAGCAAGTCATCATAAATCAACCAATGCTTATCCTACCGTCTGATCCAAAATCCAAAACATACTGAGAAGTTATATTAATCAATTAATGACTTGCATTAGAAAAATAACCTGAGGTTGGAGTCTACTAAAATCAAACATAAGCTATATATATAAGAAGAGGTGCCTCTTTGTTTACAGATAAATCTCATGCAAGCCAACATCCAAAGATAATGTCAATAAACAAGGATTTGAATATCTAATGGAATTTATGGATGCTGGAAATGTTCACCAAGCTAGGCAATCTTTTGTTACTTAGAAGACTAGCAAGGATTAGATTAAATACCTGCTTCAGGTAAGGATAGGCTCAAATCCACACTGATGTTCAAGAATTCCAATCCTTCATGTACAAAGTCCAGTGTTTTCTGAGTCAAGCTCCACTCCTAATCATCAACTGAATTCAACCATATTCAGTAATGTCCTTTAACTTGGCAGGATGTAAAAGAAACCTACCACAAAAGGTGCAACTCTGCCAACTAGACAATAGTCACCAGTCTGGGGGCTTCTCACATTCTGTTTTTCTTCCTTGGGTTCCACTTCTTTTCTGAGAAACACCTGTAGGGAAAATTAGCATAGTGAAGATTTATTATGTCCAGTGGGTGGGATTCAATTTTTTTTACTACTGGTTCTGTGGGCGTGGTTTGGTGGGCCTTGTGTGGCTTGGTGGGGGTGACTTGGTGGGTATGGCAGGGGAAGGATATTATAAAGTCCCCATTCCCTCCCCACTCCAGGAGAAGGTTACTGCAAAATTCCCATCAGCTGGGACTCGGTAGGCAGAGAATAGATGAGGGTGGGACCAGTCAGAAGTGGTATTTACCGGTTCTCTGAACTACTCAAAATTTCTGCTAACGGTTCTCCAGAACTGGTCAGAACCGGCTGAATACCACCTCTGATTATATCCGAATTATGGAAAATCACTGGAGAATAATCAAGTAGCTAGACACTAAGCTGCTAAGGTTCGATGGCAAAATTCAGAATTTTCAATTTTACTGTGTTTTATCAAATCCTCATCCTGATTATGCTTTAAGAGACAGATGTCAAATTCGATCATGTCACCTGAGGTATCATGACTTTTTTTTGCCTTTGCAGAGCCAGAGTGGGCGTGGCCTGTGTGTAACACATCTGGCCCACAGGCTGCCAGTTTGACATCCCTCCTTCAAGATGAGCATTGCACCCCAATGATTGTCAATGAGACATGATTTTTTAAAAAGGTTTCCTCCCATTAACTGTTGCTATGTTGCAGGCCCACAGGTGGTCATGAGAAAATGAAATACACATTGTCTAATTTTTTCTTTCACTTATTTTCATAAGAAACGATCAGTATTTTTTAAAAGTATTGATTTTTTTTTAAAACACAGTTTGAACACAATTCTTCATTCTTACACAAAGACTTAGCATGTGGATATGGAAAGAGAAGAATAAATAAATCAGACACAATAACCAATAGGCAAATGTAGCCAGGACAAATTAGCACACCAGTATCTCTGAACATTTTATTCTCGGCAACATCTATTTTCTATTAGCAGTGAAGATATAAAGGACCTTCATAATTCTCATATGAACAGAAAATCTATTAAAGTAATGGTGACTTCACGACAGATGAAGCATCACATACTGTTTATCCATGAGAAAACAATAAATTACAATACTTATTCCACAAGTATGTATTCTAAACATTGGAAATTGTTGCCTTCCTTTATTGCTGAACTCCTATAAACTCCACTCAGCATATCCAATACTGAAATATCCTGTGATCAACCACTACTATCTGAAGTAGAAGTGACAAGATGTGTTTGTGTGTTTGTATGTATGTATGTATGTATGTATGTATGTATGTACGTACGTATATACATGCATGCACGCACGCACGCACACACACACACACACACACACAAACATCTGTGCATATTATATTCAGGAAAGTGGGGAAGAGATAGAGAAATTTCAGTGAATGGGAGAGACACGTAGATGTCAAAGTTTCTCAGGCTATTACTGTGAGATAAAGAGGTTTCTTTGAAATAAAACATAAAATAATGATATTGCAAATCTGCAAGCAACAAATAATAGGACAGTAATTGCATGATTTATAGCAAAGATGGGGAATTGCTATTGTCATAGGATATTTAATGAAAATGGACTCATATATAAATAGGACATGGATAAAAGTAGGAGATAGAATTAGAGCTATGTATGTATGTTATGTATATAAACCTGATGCTTAATAACTTTTTGGTACAACAGCAATTTAATAGATCCTAGGAATTAGAACAAAAATGCATAAATATTATAATTAACATCTCTGATATCTGAAGCTACACTTTAATATTCAAATATTTAATTACCTTATTACTATTTTTTCTGTATATGTAACTTTTTAAGGTTTTTTTTTAAATCTAACTTTTTAATATTAGGGTCTATCTACAACCCAGTGAACTCAATTTTCAGTATTCCTCTGCTGCCATCTAGGGCTCGTCTGGATTTTTGCAAACTGTAGTTGGTAGCTCTACCTAAATAAACATTTGCTTTGTTAACAACTTTGGAGTTTTCAACAGTACAGACCTAAGAAACTTGTCTTATATTTATGTAGTGTGAAATAAACTGCTTTGGTCCTTAAATACATTTCTCCCTATGAAGGTTTGATTAGGTAAACTAAAGTGTCTGTAGACACCTGGAGAGTGGCGGTGCAAGGAACTATTTGCATCATGAGGCAACTGATTTAAATTGAATAATTGTATTGTTTGCACAATGGCATACTAATGTACATATTTACATGACTTTGGTATCATTGCAAAGACACTCATGAAATTGTCTTAAAAGTCTTGGTCCCAAAGTCAGGAGGTTTCTAATGAACTTTATGAGTTTGGTGCTCAATTTCACTTTACAAAATGGTAGCCAATCTCTTTGATTATTAGAAGAATACATGAGGGAATGTTCTTTACTGTTTCAATATTTCTAGCAGCAACTGTGAGAGGGATATTGGAGTTTTAATGGATAACCAGTTAAATATGAGCCAGCAATGTGCGGTGGCAGCCAAAAAAAGCCAATGCAATCCTACAATCAAGATCATGTGAGGTATTAATACCACTCTATAAAGTCCTAGTAAGACTACACTTAGAATATTGTGTCCAGTTTTGGTCACCACACTATAAAAAGATGTTGAGTCTGTAGAAAAAGTGCAGAGAAGAGCAACCAGGATGATTAGGGAATTGGAGACTAAAACATATAAAGAGTGGTTACAGGAACTGGGCATGGCTAGTCTAGTGAAGAAAAGGACCAGGGGAGATATGATAGCAGTGTTCCAGTATCTGAGGGACTGCCACAGAGAGGAAGGGGGTCAAACTATTTTCCAAAGCACCTGAAGGCCAGACAAGGAAAACTGGAAACTGATCAAGGAGAGATTCAACCTAGAAATAAGGATAATTTTTCTGACAGTGAGGACAATCAACCAACGGAACACCCTGCCTTCAGAAGTTGTGGCAGCCCCATCACTAGAGGCTTTCAAGGGGAAACTGGACTGCTATTTGACAGAAATGGTATAGGGTCTTCTGCTTGGGCAGGGGTTGGACTAGATGACCTACAAGGTCCCTTCCAACTCTGGTGATCTGTTAATATCCATTTCACTGAAAGAGTTTGATCTCTGGGATCTCAGAAAATGGAAAATCCTCTCACAAGACCACATAACTCTCTTAAATACATAAATGCTAACTATTCCATCATCTCCAAAGTAATTTGGAAGAAATGCCTCAGACTAATTGGAAGCATGAGCACATCTCTCTTCCATGGAAGCCTGAAAAAAGCATCTTGCTGTTTCAGGAGTCACGTCAAAGTTACAATGGTTAATTATAGGATTCCTCAGCTGCACTCGTTTCTTTTTTCAGAATTGCTCAAGATGTCTGAAAACAGCAGCTTGGGTGAGGCCCACAGCACTTTTCTAAATCAGTTTTGAAAGGTGCATCCCTTTCCATATCCATGGTTATTTAAATAGAAATAGTCTACCCTGGGACTGAAGGTCAAGCCATATGCACTAAACGGGAAAGTCTAGAATATTGTCTGCAGAAGATACAAAAGATTTAGAACGCTTTGGCATGTAAATAATAGGGAGTTCAGCCACGGAGTAAATTTCTCTGCTTTATGTGGTGAAAGCCTGACTAGATAATCCTTTATTTCTATTGTTTACAGATTGGTTATTTTTTTTTTTTGCAAACATGTAATAGCTATTAATTCCATAATGTATAGTTTATTAATTCCATAATGTATGGCAATGAGAAATGTTCAAAGAGGTCAATATCTATTTCCCCCAGCTGGGACCAGCTTGGCCTCTCCCCGACCAGAGTTGGGGGAGATAAGCTTGCAGGTGACATAAGTGCTTTATTTACATGTGAAGCTCCCTCAATCCATCAGCTGCAGGCAAACAAGGCTGTCAGCACAAGGATGATCTCATCCTTCCTGCAGTTCTGCTCCACTTGGATTACAGAGGTAGGGCTCCCTCCCCCACCATCTGATCCTATCCAACAAGCAGCAGCAGCCTGGAGCACATGTGAAAACAAGAACCGAGTCAGTCTTTCTTTAACTTTGGAATGTGGAGACTGCAACTAAGGAATGAACTGACAAAGAAGAATCTTCTATGGCTGGAGAAGATACAAACTGTATCAAACCAATCATCCCATAGGATGAGAAGCACTCATCTATCTCTTATAAGGCACAATGCTGGAGAAACACATAAGGGCTTTCAGAATGAANTGTGAGATAAAGAGGTTTCTTTGAAATAAAACATAAAATAATGATATTGCAAATCTGCAAGCAACAAATAATAGGACAGTAATTGCATGATTTATAGCAAAGATGGGGAATTGCTATTGTCATAGGATATTTAATGAAAATGGACTCATATATAAATAGGACATGGATAAAAGTAGGAGATAGAATTAGAGCTATGTATGTATGTTATGTATATAAACCTGATGCTTAATAACTTTTTGGTACAACAGCAATTTAATAGATCCTAGGAATTAGAACAAAAATGCATAAATATTATAATTAACATCTCTGATATCTGAAGCTACACTTTAATATTCAAATATTTAATTACCTTATTACTATTTTTTCTGTATATGTAACTTTTTAAGGTTTTTTTTTAAATCTAACTTTTTAATATTAGGGTCTATCTACAACCCAGTGAACTCAATTTTCAGTATTCCTCTGCTGCCATCTAGGGCTCGTCTGGATTTTTGCAAACTGTAGTTGGTAGCTCTACCTAAATAAACATTTGCTTTGTTAACAACTTTGGAGTTTTCAACAGTACAGACCTAAGAAACTTGTCTTATATTTATGTAGTGTGAAATAAACTGCTTTGGTCCTTAAATACATTTCTCCCTATGAAGGTTTGATTAGGTAAACTAAAGTGTCTGTAGACACCTGGAGAGTGGCGGTGCAAGGAACTATTTGCATCATGAGGCAACTGATTTAAATTGAATAATTGTATTGTTTGCACAATGGCATACTAATGTACATATTTACATGACTTTGGTATCATTGCAAAGACACTCATGAAATTGTCTTAAAAGTCTTGGTCCCAAAGTCAGGAGGTTTCTAATGAACTTTATGAGTTTGGTGCTCAATTTCACTTTACAAAATGGTAGCCAATCTCTTTGATTATTAGAAGAATACATGAGGGAATGTTCTTTACTGTTTCAATATTTCTAGCAGCAACTGTGAGAGGGATATTGGAGTTTTAATGGATAACCAGTTAAATATGAGCCAGCAATGTGCGGTGGCAGCCAAAAAAAGCCAATGCAATCCTACAATCAAGATCATGTGAGGTATTAATACCACTCTATAAAGTCCTAGTAAGACTACACTTAGAATATTGTGTCCAGTTTTGGTCACCACACTATAAAAAGATGTTGAGTCTGTAGAAAAAGTGCAGAGAAGAGCAACCAGGATGATTAGGGAATTGGAGACTAAAACATATAAAGAGTGGTTACAGGAACTGGGCATGGCTAGTCTAGTGAAGAAAAGGACCAGGGGAGATATGATAGCAGTGTTCCAGTATCTGAGGGACTGCCACAGAGAGGAAGGGGGTCAAACTATTTTCCAAAGCACCTGAAGGCCAGACAAGGAAAACTGGAAACTGATCAAGGAGAGATTCAACCTAGAAATAAGGATAATTTTTCTGACAGTGAGGACAATCAACCAACGGAACACCCTGCCTTCAGAAGTTGTGGCAGCCCCATCACTAGAGGCTTTCAAGGGGAAACTGGACTGCTATTTGACAGAAATGGTATAGGGTCTTCTGCTTGGGCAGGGGTTGGACTAGATGACCTACAAGGTCCCTTCCAACTCTGGTGATCTGTTAATATCCATTTCACTGAAAGAGTTTGATCTCTGGGATCTCAGAAAATGGAAAATCCTCTCACAAGACCACATAACTCTCTTAAATACATAAATGCTAACTATTCCATCATCTCCAAAGTAATTTGGAAGAAATGCCTCAGACTAATTGGAAGCATGAGCACATCTCTCTTCCATGGAAGCCTGAAAAAAGCATCTTGCTGTTTCAGGAGTCACGTCAAAGTTACAATGGTTAATTATAGGATTCCTCAGCTGCACTCGTTTCTTTTTTCAGAATTGCTCAAGATGTCTGAAAACAGCAGCTTGGGTGAGGCCCACAGCACTTTTCTAAATCAGTTTTGAAAGGTGCATCCCTTTCCATATCCATGGTTATTTAAATAGAAATAGTCTACCCTGGGACTGAAGGTCAAGCCATATGCACTAAACGGGAAAGTCTAGAATATTGTCTGCAGAAGATACAAAAGATTTAGAACGCTTTGGCATGTAAATAATAGGGAGTTCAGCCACGGAGTAAATTTCTCTGCTTTATGTGGTGAAAGCCTGACTAGATAATCCTTTATTTCTATTGTTTACAGATTGGTTATTTTTTTTTTTGCAAACATGTAATAGCTATTAATTCCATAATGTATAGTTTATTAATTCCATAATGTATGGCAATGAGAAATGTTCAAAGAGGTCAATATCTATTTCCCCCAGCTGGGACCAGCTTGGCCTCTCCCCGACCAGAGTTGGGGGAGATAAGCTTGCAGGTGACATAAGTGCTTTATTTACATGTGAAGCTCCCTCAATCCATCAGCTGCAGGCAAACAAGGCTGTCAGCACAAGGATGATCTCATCCTTCCTGCAGTTCTGCTCCACTTGGATTACAGAGGTAGGGCTCCCTCCCCCACCATCTGATCCTATCCAACAAGCAGCAGCAGCCTGGAGCACATGTGAAAACAAGAACCGAGTCAGTCTTTCTTTAACTTTGGAATGTGGAGACTGCAACTAAGGAATGAACTGACAAAGAAGAATCTTCTATGGCTGGAGAAGATACAAACTGTATCAAACCAATCATCCCATAGGATGAGAAGCACTCATCTATCTCTTATAAGGCACAATGCTGGAGAAACACATAAGGGCTTTCAGAATGAATCTTGGTCAAGATTTCAAGGTCAGTTTGGGCAACACTTTCCATGGGGCTGATGAGATAACACGATTAGTCAGGCCTGCAGAGAAACTTTTTAAAAATCATCTCTTCATTATTAAAACCAAAACAGAATGACATGGCCTCAACTTATCCCATTGGAATATGTTTCATAATTTCACAGAACTGACATCACATGTTATCACATAGCAGGTCTCAATATTTTTTTCTTCCACGTATACATACAGTTCATTTAGGAAAGTAGCTACAAAACAACTGAAGTGTTAAAACTAAAGTGATCCTAGACATCTTTCTGACAAGAGGTTTTGCCGAACAGCACACCTTTTCTGAGATTTCCAAATCTCTCTCTCATAACCCTTTCTCTGAATAAACATCAACACAATCTTGTAAAATACAATCTTGTAGAATCATAAAAGGCAACTTTAGCATGGATCTGTTTATATTCGAGTTCTAGTACCATTACAATACGCAGGTTATTTTCTAAGCATTTCCTGGCATTACTTGGCATGATACTTTCTTATAATACATATCCAGAAATGACATAATCTTGTGTTTTAAAAAGTGCTGGAAGACGGATATTTAAATGCTTACTAATTGTATGAGTAACCTTTCCTAGACTTGTCCCACCATGTTCAGAGGTAATATAGTCTCGTTACACACCATCCACAGATTATCTCCACAACAAAACAAAACAGAAACAAAAAGAGAATAAGCCAACACATGAAATAAGAAATGGAAGAAATAAATGGAACTAGAAAAATAATAATAACATGGAACCAGAAATCTCAAGGTCCTCCTACTAGTTTTGAAAGGAGTTCTATGGAAAGATAATTATGTAAAAGTAGGATACCATGTCTAGCTCAGAGGGATGCTCACTATGCAGTTGCTTGCAGATAAATGCTATCAGAGGTAAAGTACTTTAAATAATAGTGACTTAAAATCAGATAGAACTCAAGCAGCACATGTGTCTCATCCCACCCCTAGGAAAAAGCATTATTCTTTGTTCATGATTGATTATGTCAGACAGTGGGAAGAAATAAACTGTACCCCCATGTGACCAAATTCTGCAGAAAATTGTCTGGAGGAATCCTACATTTCAGATCTCCATCACCCTTAATCCAGCTACTTGCGATTCCTTTTCACACAATGGCTTGTTCAAAGATCCTAAAGCCAGGTGTAATCTGGCACTGTAGAGAGATGTGAAGTGCAGAATGGAGAGCGTAGGAAAAATAAGAGGAGATAAATGAATGGCTTACCTTGAATTGTGCTTTTCCTGCTTTGCAGTTGTTGTTGTTGTAGTTTTTCTCTGCACTGGTGTGGGAAGGGCCCCTGAATATCCCTTCTTCCCCTAAACCACCTTTTCCATGCCAGTTGGACAAAGTAATCTTCTTAATGGAACGAGACAGCGAATTGCTATTGATGCAATCATCATTGGTGACCACTTCTTCAATAGGACTAGCACTTTTAAATCTTTCTCCAGCAGGCTCCAGAGACGTCTGAGCCAGATACAGGGAAACACACTCATTGAGGTTTTGGTGCAAGTCATGGTTATTCAGAGCATCGAGAGGAATGTCAGTACAGCTGTCTCTTGGAAATTCCAGGGAACACTTGGGTAGAGATAATTTGGTGCTAATCGTGAACGGTTGGACCTTCCTTGCCGTGCTACCGGACATTGTCTCCCTAGCACAAGCCTTAAAGGGGCCCTAGAAAAATGCTAGGACCCAAGTCTTGATAAACCCCCACTGCTTTTGGTAGGAGAACATAGAAAGAAACACAAAATCAGAAGTGACAAGGTTTGCCTTGGCTTTTCCATCCCATGCAAGAAAACTCAGAGGTGGAGACTGTGTCCCATTGGATCCATTCTGCTCTTCTTTTCCCTCAGGCGTCCAGTTTGTGAGCTCCCTCACAAGTGAAACTTCTCCTTCAAATGTTCAGAGGGGACTTCCAAACCTCCTTTGGTTTTCTAGCAGAAGTTACACAGCTGCCACCAAGCCAAGGTTTCTGGGCAGTGGTAGTTAGCTCTGTGAGGAAGTCACTCACTCATCGATCAGTTTTTGCCGGAAAACAAAGGCGGGGAGAAAGAGAAGGCAGAATCGAGGGAGGGAACTTGGTCTTGGCTTACTGAGCAAAGAGGAGAAAAATTATTCAGAGTGCCTGGAAGTTGGGAGGAATGTTTTTTTTTGGGGGGGGGGGGCGGATCTTAAGAAATGAGATCAAAAAATTTAATCTTCCCCTTGAGAGGAGTGCAGTTGGTAAATACTTCTTGAGCTCGCCTTCTCTCTTGGCTTGGAAGAGCGCCCTCTTTCCCACGAGAAGCCAAACGCCGCTTCTGATGGGGGAAACGGGCGCTGGGAGGATACGTCTCGCTTCCCTCCGAAACAGGCTCCGCTCCGGGGCTGTGACAGGTGGGTGCCGGGATTGCCACTTCCGAGCCCCGAAAATTTGGGGGGAGGGGTGCCGGCGACTCCCTCCCTCTCTCCCTCCCTGAGTCCGTTTCAGGCGCCGTCCACCTTCTTGCGCAGGTTGAGGAGGCAGAGCAGGCAGGTGAGGATGGCTTCGCGGGACTGCTCAGAAGTCAGGCGGGCCCCCAGGCGCCGGAGCAGCGGCAGGAGGCGCTTGCGAGCCAGCAGCAACAGGCGAGTCAGAAGGGTGCGCAGAAGCAGGAGGGCGAGCAGAGGGGCGGGCATGCTGCGCTCAGGGCGCGGGCCGGGGTTTGGTGGGGGGGGGGGGGGGGGAGAGGTGGAGGGAGAGAGA